GGCATATTTCTTTCCTCCACAAGTGAACATGTGCTTAAAGGTTTCAATGATTCAAATTGAGCCACTTGCGCAATTACCAAAAGATCAACTACTGGATACATCACAATGCTTGCATGGCTCTTCTCCCCTATCTTGGAAAACCAAGAAACAACCTACCATTTCAAGATCATCAACCTAAGCCGAATATCAGGTAATGGCCTCCACAACAACTGAGCTACTTTGGTTACGTCGCATCCTTGCTGAATTCACAGTCACATTGCATACACCTATGCAACTACACTATGACAGTAAGGCAGCTCGACATATTGCTGCAAATCCCATATTCCATGATCGAACTAAACATATCGACATCAATTGTCACTTTGTTCGTGAACACGTACAAAGTGGAGCTCTCCTAACACACCACTTATCAATTGTGTATCAACCTACTGATCTGTTAACTAAAAGTCATGCCCTGTGACAAGTTTCATCATCTACTTCCCAAGTTGGGCATCTCTTCATCAAATGCTCCAGTTTGAGGGGGGTGTTAGGATATTACGCACATGTGCATTGGATTGTTTGCCCACTTGTCTAATTCTATTAGTTAGTTTCACACGTCAGCGTCACAATTGTCACCAACTAATTGTATCTATAAATTCTTTTGTTCTAATGACAATTTATTCGAGTTCTGTTGTTATTGTGACTATTACTAAGCTTTCAAAAAGATCTTGCTTCTAAAGCTTTAATAACAGACTAATTGTCACTTTCCACAATTAAAATCTCAAAACCTAGATTAACACTAGATAAACAGCCTTGTTTTAAGGCAAAGACCTCAGCATACAGAGCAGAAACTAGATTGCATTTTCCACACCAAAAAGAAAAAGATCCATCTCAATTCCTAAACAAAAAACCATACCCACTACTATTAGAATAAAGACTTGAATCTGTATTGCCACCAAAGTTAAGGGGAGGGATGCTATGGGTATGGTGTTGCACTAGACAACTGCCCCTATCTAGACCATGGGTGTACCTCCAACATGAAAAAAAAGCCCCGACGGTTACATTAATGATTGTGGTCTTGAGGGTACATGATTCAAATTTTACTAATGTTTGACAATCAAACCAGGAAAAGTATTGCCAAAATTGTTACTTTATTAGCAATCTTTTTCCAATCAGTTTTCCCGTAAAAATTATTACGATAATAGTTCTAACAAATATGGGTCAAGTAAGAAACCATGAGAGGTTGGTTGAAATTGAAATGAAAAGTAGTTTTTGAGTTCTAGTGTTAGAGTCAAAGCATAGGCAATACTCTCTTGGCATAAATTCCAATAAAAAGATAGTAAGGTAAACAGAATGGATGATACACTGTATATAAATTGAACAATTAATTCATGGTGGATGTTGATAGAAGCATGAAGAATACTTCAATATTTGGGGTAGGGCTGCAAAGGGATGATATGTCTATACCTTTTAGACAAATGGGCAATGGCATCATATTTTTTCAATAAAGAGTTAAAAAAAGTGGTCATTTCCACTCTCAAATAGAAGTATTTTTTTAGACATATGTTTACTCAATCTTTTTWAAAAAAAAGAAAAGCATGAGATTCAAATGGTTGTTAGCTCTTCTATTAAAAAGTTTAGTGGTAGTAGCTTCCAATAAAAAAGAACAAGAAAAAACTCGTTTCAAATAAATTTAAGACCCATAAAATGGGTTATTGTTTACAAATAAATTTTGTTCTAATCTCTTAAATTAAATAACAAATCTATATATTAAAAATATCAAATAAACAAATAAGTTAATTTATAATATAAATAACGATAAATTACACAGACCCCCATACTATGGGTCTATGACAAAGACTCCCTAAACTTTGGCCGTTAGACAAAGACCCGCTCCATTTATGTTTCCTCAATTAACTTGGAAAAAAAATTATCATCTGGACTGTTTAGAATTTTCTAAATGCCCAAATTACCTTTTTTTTCTTTAATTTATGAAATCATTTAATTTTTTTTTATACTTTGTACTGTTCATCATCTTTCCTCCGCTCCCCTCCGTTCGTCTTTCTTCTCTTCTCAGTTCTTTTTGTACTCCAGTATCAACCAAATCTCCAAAGATGATGCCTGCTATTGTTCCTGGCCTGAGAGTCTGAGACCGCTCAGCCTTTGCGATTGAGTGCCATTCAGTTCATTGCCTTCATAGTCCTGTATAGGATGGCTCATTTCCTGAACGGGTGGACTTATGCTCCGCATACATTCCAGCTGATGCACAGTTCACACAACAAATGTGTGCAACTGGTGCAAAGCTCATCATCAACAGCTGAGCTCTGGGCAATAATAAGAGGTTTGCGTAAATTTTTTTGTATGGGTTACAAAGAAGGTTTTTTGCTATGGGATGCCAAGAAAGTACTTTTGGAGTTAAGAGGAATTGATAAAAACATCACCTGCGAATTTCAAGCGCTATATGATCATATATTTGATTTGTTGTTACTTTTTGATAACGTAAAGTTATTGTATGTAAACAGGTAGGTGGTTAAGCCAGCTCATGAACTTGCTAAACAGGCTAGGCTTAAAAGCACTTTTGTAAACAGAACCAATCCCCCTATGTATTTACAAGCATGTTTTTGGGTGGCTGAAAAAGAAGGATTCAATTGTACCCATGATGTTTGTAGTGGTTCCTTTTTTATAGGAAAAAAAATGTGGGGTAGGGATGCTGGGACTAGGGAAGGTCCCAATCCAATTATCCCCTTCCCTTGAAAAGTTGATGCAGCTAATTATCCTTCCATGCCGTTGATGGGAAACAAGATGCGTGGGATCTGCTATGGGAAAAGTCATGAGGATGAGTTGAAATCAGCCCCCCACAAGATAGTTTCCTACAACGTCCCACAGCACATCCCCGTCGTGTATTGGGAACATCTTCCGATGATGCCTCATTATTTCTGATATTATCATCGGAAGATGTTCCCAATACACGACAAGGATGTATTGTGGAATGTTGTGGGGGCTGATTTTAACTCCATGAGGATGAAGATAGAATGCTGAGATGCCCCCAAAACCACCAAGCACGTGGGTTCCTAGGTCTGCCCCAGAAAACCTCTCCAGTCCCTGCTTTAGTGATTGTTCCATGGTGGTGATTCTGTCTCAGCCTCACCGGTCAGGTGGGATGTTTTTTGAGGCACTACGGGTGGAATTTGACATTGGAGAGTTTTAAGAAAGAATGGCAAAAAAAAAAAAATTAGAAGTGCATTGGGGTATTTTGGTAATTTAACATTTCCTTGTCATCTAATTTAACAGCCAAGGGGGTCTTTGTCACAAACCCCATTGCACAAGGGACCATGTAATTTACTCTATAAATAATGGGTGTCAAATAAAATTGATTAAAATAGTGACCCTAAACTTAGAATGGGGGGACTTCTCTAGTTTAAATATATTATTAAACAGTTTAATAATATTTTGAATCTTATGTGAAGGATAATTGGTAATTTATGTATTTTCTATATGTTTAAATCAAATAATTAAAAAATTTGATGTTTATTTATGTTATTTTATTTGTTTAATATTTATATATAATTTAAAATAATAAGAAATTATATATAGGTTTTTGACATAACGTGCCCTACCCACAAGTGTGAGTAGGGGTGTCAATTGGACCTGGTCCAATGTGAGTTCATTGCAAATGGACCTGGTCCAATCCAATCCAATGAATATTTTGAACCATTTTGGATCGGTTTAGAGACTATCCAATCTGTTCAAATTCCTGTTAATTTAGATTGGTTTCAACTCAAACCTGGTCCATTGACACCTATGTTCTTATCTTCTATCAATGGACCAAATATTGGCTCAATCCAATATAAATTCATTATGGATGGTTCAGATCCAATCCAATATGTCATATTGGTCCATCCAGTCCGTCCAAATTCAATATGTCTTATTGGCCCGTCCAAATGGATTTTGATTTGGATGGAGTCGAACCCAAAACCGGTCCATTGACACCCCTAAGTGTGAGGAGGTAGGGTTGATGAGGGTTTTACACTTCAGGAGTGATCATTTCAGCCTGGCCTGACCTACACAAGCCCAGCCCTGGAAATTCCAGGCTTGGGAGGCCCTCAAATTTTAGGGTTGGGCATGGACCTAATACTTCAACCCCAACCCAACCCGCATATATTTAAACATACCCATTTTATGTATAATGTATATGTGTGTGTATATATTATATACATATATATACATGTTATTTTATATTATATTATATATTTTATATATAACTATTAATATGGTATGTATAATTTATATTATATATATAATGTATAAAGTAAGTTTATATGCATGTTAGCCCTGGAAATTCTAGGCTTGGGAGGCCCTCAAATTTTAGGGTTGGGCATGGACCTAATACTTCAACCCCAACCTAGCCCGCATATATTTTGAACATACCACCCATTTTATGTATAATGTATATGTGTGTATATATATATATATATGTATATATACATGTTATTTTATATAATATGGTATGTATAATTTATATTATATATATAATGTTTAAAATAAATTTATATACATGTTATATATGTAATGTTTTATATGAAGACATAGACCCGGAATCAGGGCCCAGGTTACTGGGCCTTGTAGACTTTAGGCTTTGGTTTATACTTTAGGCCCAAAACTTTGAATCGAGCCGAACCGGACCCAGGCGTAGACTAGACTATAATCCTTATCATAAATGCAAAGCTGAGCTCGAGCTTGCGACCTGGGGCTTCGACTTATGTTTCAAAGTCCAGAACCCCGGGCCCAGGACTAGGCTATAATCCTCAAAGCCTGGCGCCCCGGCCCATGATCACCCCTATTCGTAAGGCGAGAGGATTTGGATTATCCAACCAACCCCTTACAAATTTTGAGGGTTCGGATCGAGAGGTTTGGATTATCCAACCAACCCCCCAACCCGTCTCATGGCCATCATTATTCACTACTGGCATATTCAAAGAAAAAAGTTGCGAACATCTCCATTCCGTTACTAATTCCACTAACGGTGTTCGAACGGGCATTGACCGACTGAAGCCGATCTCCATGTAGCGGCCGCCACGCAGAATAAATACAGAATTCTCGATTTCCCCTTCGGGTTGGGTGAGGGTCTGAGGGATATGATCTCCGACTACATCAAAATTGCAGGAAAGTACTGTAGAATCAATCCCGCCAGGGATACTTCCATCGCCCATTCCGGTGACAGTATTCCTTCAGGCAACGTATTGTCTAGATAGACACATGGAAACTGGTAGTTACTCGCCTCTCTTGTGGCAGCAGTAAGCGGAATGGAATAACATGTGTATCTGATTCCGACGCTAGCTGCTGTGTATCAGGCACCGACAGGGCGCTCCATAAGAGTTATTATGCGATGTCAAGAGTAGTTCCAGATACTTACAGGGAAGCACCAGTTTACAGTGTGGGTGCACCAACAGTAGCGGCACAATCTAAGGTAGGGGTGTATGAGGAAGGTGGGGTTGGATGTCGGAATGGTAAGGCCTTCAGCAATGGCGGGCTCTGGGTATACGCAGATGACTTATGATGGCGCGGGTAGGCAAGTGTACTACTATACAACACTGCAACCAAGTGTAGTGTCCCAATATCGGACAATGATGGCCACGAGAATCAATCAAGGTTCAAGCAGCAACTGCTACTGCTGCTGCTGGGGTGTTGAGTCAAGAAGGTGAATTGGTCGTGAAGCCTTCCCAAGGTTCTCTGTGATAGCCTGAATGTGGTCTTCAGATCTCTCTTTTTTTTTTCAATAATTTTCGCATGTTTATTTGAGAAATGAAAGTTACGAAACCCGTTTTATCAGGTTGTCGTTCTTACCATCTTTCCAAGCTTATTGCAAATCTTGTCTGCTTCATCCATTCAGATGCGTCGTTTTCTCCAGACGCGAAACCCAAGTGGTGGAGGGAAATAACCCAAAGTTCAAACCATGGAGATTTTGATGCCAACTCAACTTGGTCGGATGCCTATGGTTTCAATTTGAAAATAGCGGATTTAGGCCGTTGCCGAAAAGTGGAAGAAGCAAGAATGGTGTTTGATGGAATGTCTCAACGAGACACTGTTTCCTATACTTCCATGATTACCGTTTATTTGAAAAATGGAGATCTGCAAAGAGCCGAAAGACTCTTCCGGGCAATGCCCACCAGAAGCGTTGTAGCTGAATCCGCAATGATCGATGGTTATGCGAAAGCTAATCGGCTGGAAGATGCCCAACGAATTTTCGACGAGATGCCGGAAAGAAACGTATTCTCATGGACCAGTTTGATATCTGGGTATCTGAGAATGGGACGTGTCGAAGAAGCTCGCCAGCTTTTTAATCAAATGCCTGTCAAGAACACTGTTTCGTGGACAACAATGGTTATGGGTTATGCCCGGAACGGCTTAATTGGTGATGCCCGGGTTCTATTTGATCAAATGCCGATGAAAAATGTAATCGCATGGACAGCTATGATTAAATCATATGTTGAGAATCATCATCTCGATGAAGCAAGGAAACTGTTCAATGAGATGCCACAGCGGAACATGTACTCTTGGAATATAATGATTTCAGGTTATCTAGATAACGGGAGAGTGAGTGAAGCAATTGAGCTTTTCAAATTAATGCCTCAGAAGAACACAATTTCCTGGACAATCATGGTGTCGGGTTTAGCAAGAAATGGGTTGACGAAGGATGCAAGGGATCACTTTGATCAGATGCCAATAAAAGACATAGCCGCATGGAATGCGATGATAACAGCATATGCTGATAATGGCTCCATGACTAAAGCAAGTGAGCTTTTCAATCTGATGCCAGAAAGAAACATCGTGACTTGGAATGCGATAGTTGATGGGTACGCTAAAAATGGGCCTGAAGAAGAGGCCTTGAAGCACTTGGTTCTCATGCTTCGGACTTGTTATAGGCCGAATGAAGCTACTATTACAAGTGTCCTGACCGCCTGCTCAAGCATGCTGGAACTCATGCAAGCTCATGCTCTTGTTATATCACTTGGCTTCGAGCATGAAACTTCTCTGACAAATGCCTTAGTTACTATGTACTCAAGATGTGGGGATGTTGACTCTTCTCGAATGGCTTTTGAGGATCTTGGGTCTAAGGATGTCGTGTCATGGACAGCGATGATATTAGCTTACTCAAACCATGGGTATGGAAACCACGCATTGGAGGTCTTTGGACGTATGCTGAGATCTGGGGCCAAGCCAGATGAGATTACATTCGTGGGTGTCTTATCAGCTTGTAGTCATGCAGGTTTTGTTGAGAAAGGGTTACGGCTCTTTGATTCAATCGGCCATGTTTATGGATTGGAGCCAAAGGCTGAGCACTACTCTTGCCTTGTTGACCTCCTCGGTCGAGCAGGGTATGTTGCTGAAGCTTTGAGGGTGGTGAATCAAATGCCACCTAGCAAACGCGATGAGGCTGTTTTGGGCGCATTGCTTGGCGCAGGCAAGCTGCATGGGGACGTTGAAGTAGTGAGACAAATAGGTGAAAAGCTAATAGAGCTTGAACCAACTAGCTCAGGGGGTTATGTGCTTTTGGCTAACACATATGCAGCACTTGGGAAGTGGGACGATTTTGCACTTGTGAGGAAGAAGATGAAGGAAAGGAATGTGAAGAAAGTACCTGGGTTTAGTCAAATTGAAGTGAGGAACAAAAGTCGTGTATTCTTCGTGGGGGATAGATCACATCCGCAAGTTAAGGAAATCTATGCTATGCTACTGGAAACTCTTCTGCCACAGATGAAAGAGATGGGTTACTTGAAAGATAATCCATCCGGACTTGTATAGTTTACAAGAGAAAGAAATACAGTTGATACCTTAAGGCTGTCTTTGGTTTGATGGAGAATAAGTGAGAAAAGAAAATTGAGGGAAAGTTACATTAGTCATCATGAATCCTGATTTGCCAACCTAAAAACTTTGAACTTTAGATCAAAAGTTACATTAGTCATCAAACAGGTCTTTTTGTTCAAGTGGTCTAGTGTTTGATCTTCACCACCCCAATATAATTAATTAAACTTCAAGTCCAATAGGCTTTCACACGAGGGGGCGTGTTTGAAAAAACCTCACTCAACCACTTAAGCTTTTAGGTTGAACGGTTCCTTGACATCGAGTTTGATGGACCACCATTGATGATGCTTTTTTTTGGTAAGACCACTGATGATGCTGATCCAGTAATAATCGAAGACCTGATGAATGCATAATTCTGTGGATCTGGGCGGGTTAAAGAAATGGAGGTGCACCAAATGTTGCTACACAGATTTAGGTCGCTAAAACCTTTTGATGATTGTAAAAAAAGCTTAACGGATTTGGCAATCTATAGTTAGCGCTGAAGCATTTTATCACACTAATCTTTGTTTAATATGATAAATGTATTATATTTGAGATGAGTCATTTTTTTTTTGTAAAATACATCTTTTTTTTTTCTATTTTCGTATTTTTAACTTTTAATATATAATCATGATATCATTGATGATAAACAAAAACATCTCAAATGTAGGATTTAATATGTTCAAGTTGCAATTCTTTTCTCACAACTAGAGGGATCAAATTCAAAAGTAAGGGTGTTAGAGGGACCAAATTCAAAAGTAAGGGTGTTTTAGTCAAGAAGAGTCCAAAAATCTCATGTATTTAATAATCCTTAAATATAAGATTTGATGATAAAGAATAGATTGAATTTAAAAATAGTAGTTTAAATTATATTTTTGTCCTTACTATGGTTTTCAAAATCGGACCGGACCGGATGGTCAGACAGGAAAAATCGGGAACCAATCACCTCACCAATTCCATTTAACCCCAAAACTTGGACAATGGTTTTTGGCCATTCTTTGTTATTTATTTATTTATTTTTTATTTTTTCTGTCAGAGCAGGCCGCCCATTCATACTAGATGGTTGGACCTTTCGACCTGGGAACCAGACCCAAAACAGTTCCCTGTTCAGTCTAATTTTAAAAACTTTSATCCTTACAATAAAGAGAAGAAAAATCCAAAAATAAAGATATTTTAATAAAAAATATAGAATCTAAGAGTACATTCCCAATAGGGGTGCAACTTGGGCAGGCCCAGCCCGAGCCCAAATCGACCCAACCTGGAATTTTATACGGGTTGGGCTTGGATTTTCGGTCCTTAGGCTGGTCTCAGGCCCAAGAAGTCAAGCTTTTTTTATTTTTTGGGCCAGGCTCGGGCCTAGTAGGCCTTAGGTAGCCCGAACCCAGCCCGAGCCAGGCCCAATTATATACATTTATACATATATATGTGTATATATGTAAATGCCACATGCATATTTACATATATACATACACATTTGTATATATAACATTTATATAGATATTTTGCATACATAAATATATGTATATATATTTGCATAAATATATTTATATATGTAATTTTAGAGTAGATTCATTGACCAACCCGAGGTCGGCCCAGGCCCGAGCCCAACCCGAGTGCATGACATTACAGGGTGGGCTGGTCTCGAGTTGAGAAAATCGGACTTGACCTCGGGCTCAGGCCTTAAGCCCAAATTTTAGGGTCGGGCCTGAGCTGACCATAAACCCGGCCCAACCCACCCAACTTGCACCCCTAATTCCCAATAAAAATTAGTTCCTTTTGGGTCAAACTTGATGGTCTTGTTCTAGGCCAGAGCTGGGCATAACACCTATGCTAAGGGCTCTAGTTTGGCCCAAGCCAGGCCGGACCTAATTCTGGGCCTATGATCTAGTTAATGTTTGATTTTCTAGTTTAAATTTCAAAATATTTGGACAACCACTATTTGCAAAATGTTGAAAAGATATTTACGTTTTAAAAGTCCTTTTACTGTACTTGTACTTCTTTAAATGTCTCAACCAGCGATTAGATTTAAGGATTAAAACATTTGATAACTACCATTTTCAAATATTGACATTATACGATATATTATTAAAATCTATACTATTTTAAAAAGTACGAATGATCCCTAGAATATTTCTGGAATTTTCTAAGGACAATATTTACCCCTCTATATTTAAATTTAATGATAAAAAATGAGGGCAAATAGGGTAATCGGTTCTTGACATTAAACGAGTTGAAAAGAGGTAATTTAAAGATATTTAATGCATTCAATTCTCTCTCATTAAATCCAATATTTAAGTTATTAACTTGCATTCATGTTCATTGAATCATATATTTAAGTCATTTTTATTTCTTCTCATCATTAAATTCTATTAATTAAATCCATACTTAATAAATTAATAATTCCAATAAAATAAAAGCTTATACTTTTAAAATCTACCTAACAAAAATAGTGTTTTCATCTAAGTGGTGGTAAGAAATTAAATCATTTTGGATCAAATGGGTTAATCCATGTTTCCATGATTAAATAATAAAATTAAAAGATAGATAAAATTTAAAAATAGAAATTAAAAAAATGAGAACATTTTTAGCATACATATTAAACAATAATAAGTATGATAAATAAGAAATGTTTTCATTAATGATGAAAATGGAATGTAAAATTTAAAACCAATTGGAAATAAAAATATTTTCCTATTCTCTCTCATTAAATCCTATATTTAAGATATATTTTTCTCATCATTAAATTACAATAATAAATCCATAATATTAATTTTAATAGTATAAAAATAAATATTTTGAAAATTAATTTGAAAACAAAACTATTTTCTTCCCTTCCGGTGGTGGGCAAGCAATTAGACCATTTGGGGTGAAATGGATTAATAAATAATGTCATAATTAAATAATAAAAAACTAAAATAAATAACTATGAAATGTAACAATTATTTTTTATTAATGATGAAAATGGAATGCTAAATTCAAAATCTACCTAGAAATTAAATGATGTCATAGTCAAATAATAAATTTTTAATAATAGAAAATACAAAGAATCACAAAAATAAAAAAAAAAAGATAGAGAAATTTTTGGCACATATCTAATGTTATACATTTATAAAAAAATAAAACATTGGGTACATCTCTAATATTGTACATTCATTATATTGAACAAAAATAAGTTTTATACATAAGAAATAATTTTATCAATGATGGAAATATAATACAAAATTTCATGTCAACCTAGAAATCAAACAATTTTTATTTTTAGATGGTGGTTTAGTGGTTTGAGTCAAACGATACCATAGACAAACAAAAATTAAGTGTGACAAATAAAAAATATTTTATATAATATAAATGAAATATATAATTTAAAGGAAAAATTATAATCAAAGTCGGTTGTACATTTAAAATTAGGTTGTAGGTTGGTCCAAAAACCAACAAAACTCTAACAACCGACTCTACATAATTATAAAAACCCCTGCCATGTCATTAGAGGCTTATGTGGCTATTGCCAACATGGGACTCTTATTCCATGTTGGACACAACAAAAAAACTATATTGAAAATAGGCTTTCAGTTTCTCTCCCATTCCCTTTGTCTCTCGTTCTCCCTCCCTTCTCTCTCATTCTCATCGTCATATCTTGATCTCCCGCTCCCTCTGTCTCTCCCACTCTCCCAGCTTCGGTTTATAGCTAAATCGAAACCCCTCTATTATTCTCCCTCAATCTTTCTCATTCTTCTCCCTCACTCTCCCTCTCCCTCTCAATCAATATCTCCTTCTCCCTCAATCTCTATCGTTCTCCATTTGGTGTAAATTTCATAGCTAAGAGTTTCTTGCGAAATTTTATCAAATTGATGTAATACTTTTTTAATCATACCAAGTTGGTCTCATGTTCTTTTATACAACTTGATTAATATCATATAAGTGTGTAAGAAAATTTAAAAAAAAAATGAAAGAGGGAGAAGGAGAAAAATTGAGAGAGAATGATAGAAATTAAGGGAGAATGAGAGATTGACCAAAAAAGAGAATGAGAGGGATTGAGGGAGAATGATAGGTAGAGAGAGAATGAGCGAAATTGATATAGATAATGTAAATACAAAAACCAAAAACCATTTTTATTTATTTTCAAATCACATAGTCGTTGAACAGATAAAATTGACTGAGAGAGAAAGAGAGAGAGAGAGAGAGAGAGAGATTAAAAACATTTTTTTTTTAATTTTCCAATCACCCAACATGAAAGAGTAATTTCAATATAAGCTTTTTGTTGTGTCCAATATGGATTAAGAGTCCCATGTTGGCAATAGCCACATAACCCTCCGATGACATGGCGAGGTTTTTATAACCTGAAATGTAGATTCGGTTGTTAAGAGTTTTGTTGGATTATGGACCAACTTGTAACCTAATTTTAAATGTACAACCGACTCTGATTATAATTTTTCCTAATTTAAAACTAACCCAAAAACAATGCTATTTTCTTATCTAGATGGTGGGTTAATGATCAAACTTTTCAAAAAAAATGCATGATGTCATAATTGAATAATAAATATTTAAATTTATTTTTAATCATATTGTTATTTTTGTTAATTTTCAATTTCTACTTTAACTATGAAATATCTAAAATTCAAGTAATTAATATGAAAAAAATTCTCACGTACAGCGCATGTGCTTAATTACTAGTATGTATGTATGAAGTTTTGCTGATTTTCATTGAAATTACCATCCCAAAAAATAAAATAAAAAATTGAACTCATTAGAATTGAAAGCATTGTGATAATGAACTAAATGCCTCCGATAATTATTTAAAAAAATCAGTTTACCTTTTTATATATTCCACCAATCTTTTCTTGTTTTTGACATATCTCAAACTTGTAACTATTTGATGAACCGGAACCAAAACCGAATACTACAAGAGGTCTGAGTTTCAGAGTCGCACATTTGTAGAGTGGTGCAACATGGGCCGCTAGATAATTTGGTGTAATGGTAAAATCGTGGGCTGGCAAGCGTGAGAACGTGGGCTCAAATCTGAGGATGGCCACTTATGTGTAAAAAAATGCCATAGGACGGTTTGCTCCTTCCAAGACCTCAGAATCTCAGATGGCTAGACCAACATTGAGTAATTCCCTTTTCTTTTTAACCTGTGGGTAAGGTTGAAAATCTTCAAACTCCGGGGAAAAAATAGGGAAAAGAATTATCTGCTCATATGCACTACATATCCAAGAGGCAAGTTTGGGGAAGATTTTGTAAATTCTAGACCCGATCAGCCTCCCTAAACCTTCCAACCCATACTGTCCTGAAAACCCTTAGGGGGTGTTCTTTTTTTGGATTTTGAGAGGGGGGAAAGTTAGGCAATGGGATTTTGGTTCCCATTGACCAAGAATCCCATGTTCTTTTTTCAGATTTATGTGGGGACTAGGGAAAGTTTATTTTCCTGGATACCACTTACCTGGGTAAGTGATACCCATCTCCTAGGTAGGTAAATAACTTTCCCACCTAGGGGAAAAGTTGCCAATACTTCAATAGGACAAAAATGCCCTTTTTAATAATGGATTTTTATGGTTAAAATGGTCATTGCTTTATTTACATGAGAAAAAAAAAGAACATGGGTAAATGTACTTACCCGGATAAATGTTTCCTAGAAAAAACTGCATTTACCCGGATAAATAACATATCGAAAAGCGAATGGGGCCTTAGACAATATGGGGGATTTGATTTTCCAAATCCAACCCCCCCTCCCCAACATTGAGGTGAAATACAGCTGGGTGCAGAGAAGTGCTACCTCAATGGCTGATGGGTTTAGCCAAGCAAGGGGCGCTTAAGGAATCTCTGTTTTGGACTAATTTTTAACTTCTTTCTTTGTTCTTTTATTGTGGGGGAGTTAAAGATAGTTACCTCCCCTTTCTTGTATTTAAAGTTTCACAAATCTTATTAACAAAGCATTTTGTTATTGATCAAAATATAATATATATATATAAACAATAAATAAGTGAAATAACATAAACAAATACCAAAATTTCCAATTATTTTTTAAGACATGTAAAAAACACAAACTACCAGTTGTCCTCATAAAATTCAAAATATTATTAAATTCAACACCTAATACATAAAGTTCATATGCCTTCCAGCAATAATGCAAGTCCGGGTTTAGCCTAATACTATACCCTATTCGTACCTGTACAGGTTGTCAAATCCCAAAATCCATCTTTCAAGCAAAAAAAAAAAAACAGCCCCATCGGATGGGTACCCACCGGGAAGGGTAGAAATTGCCATCCCTAATCCAAACAACCTTGACAGAAGAAAAATAAGGAAAAGAAAGAATAATCTGTTCATAAATTTAGTTTTTTTTTCTTCAACTGCGATGTAAGTACAGTTGGCTCAAAACAAAGGATACTAAACAACTAGACAAGCAAAAAAAAACACAAGCACAAGCAAAAAGAGCCCAAAATGAAAAAAAAATGACATGAAAGAAAGAAGGGTAGCCATTTTACTTCTTTTTCCCAGCTTTCCCCTCCTTTCTTCTTACAATCTCATCAGCATATTTGACACCCTTCCCTTTATATGGTTCTGGTGGTCTCCACTTTCTAATTGAAGCAGCAAATTCACCAATGGAACACTTGTCATATCCACTAACAGAAATTCTGGTATTGTCTTCCACCTTCACTTTCAAACCATCAGGGATTGCCATCCTAACTGGGTGAGAGAACCCAAGATTTAATACCAAGTCATTGCCTTCTACTGTTGCACGATACCCAACCCCAACCAATTGAAGCCTCTTCTCAAATCCTTTAGAAACTCCAACCACCATGTTGTCTGTAAGAGTCCTGCACAAATTCAAGGAACACCAAAAAATTGAAGTGTAAATCTCGACATGTTCTCTTACTCTGTAAATCTGCATCTCTGTGCATACAGGTTTTGAGAACTAAAGCTCAAACTCTCCTAATATATAGCAACAGTTAAACTTTAACTTTCAATTATTTTATCAAGAAAAAGTTGTTCAGCTACAGTAGCCACCATTCATTGGTATTTAGTAAAAGTACTTGGTTGATTCAAAAAAATGCCTTGGAAGTCTCTGTTATGAGAACTAGATATGTGGCATATGTGCTGAGCATATTATGAGAACCAAAGAATTAACCATATAGCCAGGCACAAAGTCTCTTCTTAATTTATGGAAATTTCCAAATCCAAATATTTAAAACTTTACCAAGGAAAAGTTGGTGAAATCTTTAGAAATATGCACGCCTATGGAGTATGGAGGGATAGCTATCTCATCCATTCCCCCAATTCTCAATGCATACGAGCAATAATCCATGGTGATCCATAAACTACCAAAGCAATGTGCTTAACTATTAATTTTTTTGATAAATGATGTGCTTAACTATTAATTACTAGTATGACTATATCCTCCCTGCCAACAAATACGAAAATAAAAGTAAATGAACTATGGATAAAGGGTTTTCAGAAAGTTATTTAGGTCTCAGAGGGCCACCGTGCACTTTGCAGGCAACATTATATATTTCTCTAAATAAGAATAAGTGACTGGATTATAGAAGGGTAAGAGGAAAAATAAGTATAAAAACAAGGGTAAGATAAGAAAATATAAATTATAATTTAGAAGTTAAATTGTGGGTATTGAGGAAATAGACAGTCAAGAATTCACCTGAAAAGCCCATGCATCTGGTTAGCTCTCCTCGTGTCCAGTGCCTTATTGACCTTCAGAGTCCCAGATTCCTCTCTCACAATCTTGACCTCACGTGGATAAGTCCTTGAAAGCTCACCCAAAGGACCCTTTACTTTCAAATCCTGGCCTTCCAGTGTGATAGTCACATTGGATGGTACCTCAATTGCCTTCTTCCCTATTCTTGATTCTTTGCATTCCACAACCTTCCTCAGAAGACCAACCTTAGTGACAGGAACTCGTACAACTTGGGTTGCACTCATCTCACCCAGAAATGTGGATTTCAAATTACTGAAGCAGGATAGGAAGAAACAGTTATCAGATTATCAGGTAAACTTGCTCTTCAGTAATCACCTCAAACTCAAATTGTCATGTAATGACAACAATAATAAGAATTTCAATCCATGCTTCTGCTCAAAAAGGGAAAAAAAAGTTTAACTGATCAAGTTTTATGATTTTCCCTACATAGAGACTTTTTTTAAGAGACAATATTAGATGAACTTTGGCCATCAACAAAACCAAATTATGTAGTAAACTAAAAAGCCAGGTGATATTTGTGATTTGCTCATTTGAAACTGTTACTGAAACTGATCAAAGGAGTAAACCTTGACAACAAATGAGTTTTAAGTGCTTCACCTTAAACTGAATGGTTAGAGGGTGGCAGCCTGCAGGTTGTCACTCCCCATTCAATAGAACAGTGGATACAATGCAAAAATATATTCCTCAAACTGATAGGCCAACTAAGTGAAAACTCTGGCAGTTGCTTGAGGAAGCTGTTGTGAGGATTATTTAATTGTTATTTTATAGTTGCTGTTAATGGGTTGTCCTCTTAAGATGCTGTCAGTTAGTTATTTTCTTTCTTTCTTATTAGTTTGTTTCTAGGGAGTGCCGCCAGGGGCATACTTGTAATTTCCATTCTTTTTATATT